CAGTCAGAGTTCGATAACTCTGCACTTAGCGGGAATTTGTGGGGGATAAGAAATAATTCAAGCAGATTTATCCCCTCATTTATAAATATAGTCTAATTTTCTTCAAAGTAGCCTAGTTCTTGAACAGCAAAATGCATACATGGGCCGCATTAAATATCGAAGTAAACATCGGTTGTTTATTGGAGTTTGAAGAGAATATTTTGCATCAAAATGGTTTTTCTTTGTGGGTTTTAATTCGAACAGCTCTAAAGTTACAATTCCTCAATTTTCCCAATATTTTTCTGGATCTCTTCGTCGGGGTTAGCTCAACTTACCCTATTCTAAGTTTATAGCCGAAACTTAATTAGGTACATCTGAGTTCGTCTATTTCAAACATGAGTCGTCTGTGATTTTATGTTTTAGGTATAAAATTGTGTAGTTATAGGTGAAAAGTCTTCATCTGCTCGTAGGCTATGTACTTTTGTTTTTTTCTTGGAATGCATCGTCTGCCGCGATAGTGCTTCCAGCCTCGTAAACATTTTGCACCCAATTTTGCCTGCGTAAAGGCGAAGTTGCGAGAATGGGTGCCCGAATTCCGTAATTTTCTGTTTTTGCCGTTCTTGCCTGATTGATAATCGGTGGACATTCGCACATTGTTCAGTCAATCCAACGTTATATTTGTATGCAGTTCGATTGGTGGTTGTTAGACTGGCCTTTCCTGCCCCAGTGATCACATGGGGCTGCTGAGGCGTAGTCAGTGCTCTGTTTTGTTATTGCGTTGGGCCTCTTTTTTCACAGCACAATGATCGATAGAGCCGAGGGGGGAGAGACTAGAAAGCGAGGCCTTTGGGGAAGACATAGCTAGGGGCAAGATCACATCTGAAATAACATTTCATATTCAATTTCAACGTGGAAAATATTTTTGCGGAGAATAGTGCAGGAGACGAACGCATGGCTGATTTTTCCTTGTCGCACATAATAGCACAATAGTTTTGGTGTCAGCATTAGCATACGAATTGCAAGGATAGATTACAAAATTTCAGCAGTCAGTAGGTGAAGCTGCTTTCTTGGACCTGTTAACTCTAAGGAGCAAAAGTTTGCTCCTCGTACTATTTTTTGCGCTCGATATAATTAGTTGAGTGCC